TTAAAATGTAAAATTGCTATGAGAGTGCATTGGCAACCAGGGTTATTATTGTTAACTAAAACTAAAGGATAAACTATGCATAGAAAAAAAAACATTGTTACTTGAAAAAACTTAAACTGAAACAAACAAACAAACAATATATAAATAAATAAATAAAAGAAAACCCTTAAACATAATTTATTTCAGCAAGTTACCAAGGCAACATTTCTCATTTTCACTGATGAAAAAGATTTTTCATTGATTTTATTGATGATCGTTTTCATAGTTTAACTTGAAGTACTAAAATAACTAAAACTAAATAACCTAAAACTAATAACTAAAATTGAATAATAATAATAATAATATAAAATAACAATGAAAAATTATAATAATAAAAAACCCTATAAGCAATACATTTACATTCATGCATATAGCAGATGCTCTTATCCAGATAGGAACAAAAGCAATTAGACACAGAGCCAACAATATTCATAATATACAATGGCAGGTTTATTAGACAGCGAAATTACATAAAAATGACAAAAGCATAAATCAAAATTACTTAAACTTTAACTAACAAACAAAATAAAATCTAATTCAAAATATTAACAAAAACTATAATAGTAGCCTATATCAGTGATACTAAAATAACACTATTGTGAACTCTGGTCTTCACTCACTGACATACTATTCAACTGACCTAAAAGAATATTATGAGGCTTCAAGGGGGTTTTCCAGTAAATGAGGCCTGTGTGATTGCCTTGCTGATTACTGTCTGTAAAGAACAGCAAGATTTTGGACATGACTCTGGACTCGTGGACTTTGACTTGTTGACTGGTCACTGGACGCAATGCGATACACAGAGATTGTGATCAAGCAGACAAGAGACCCGGCTGAAATTCTGTCTTGTTTCTTTCTGCTAAACTTAGTCTCTCCACATTAATCTTTAAAGACACTTGACTTACAGTCCCACGTCAAATGAATTAAACTGATGATGATGGAAAAAAGTGATGTAATTATGTAATTTAATCAAGAAAAACACAAGTAAACAAGTATATTTGCATGAGTTCAAACTAACTTTTACTGTTCATTAAAGTGTGAATGTTTAATATTTTGGTCAAGGCTATTTATTTGTTACATTTTAATTATTATGTATGTATATGTTTTTATGGCAGTTTGAGGCTGATATTTATTTCATATTATATGATATTATGCTCCTGTACTTTGGGTTTGTGAGTATTGCGGTACAGTAGCGCTGGTTGTTTTCATTCATCAGTGGGCTTGAGGTCTGTGTATTTCACTGCCAGAGAATGTAGGTCATGTTCATGAGGATTTCCCTCCACTGAGAGATGCTTCTAGAAAGCAGGTACACTCATGTGCTTTTAATAGTGTTTCACTAATTCTCATCCCTCAAGTGGCCTTAATGCCCGCTGTCACGTCAACAAAAGATGAAGTGAGCTCTTTACTATGTGTTACTGTAATACAGTAATGAAAACCAACCTGTCTAAACATTGTGTGTGTGTGTGTGTGTAAATACAGTTAAATTATAGTATACTCTATACATTCATAGTATATTCTATTTTGCTGTATATTTTGTATAAATGTATTCATCCATAAACATTTCAAATGATACTATGCTACATTATTGTCATCATGACATGATGTCATTATTGCCGTTTTAACCATTGGGCTAGGCGGGGCTGAAGCCCCGGGGCCCGAGCAAGGAGGGGGCCCGTGATTGGCTGTGGAGTAGATTGACTGGACCGCCGATCGCCAAAGCCGCCACGCCCCCCACTTATTAGCGCTGTTATTTAGTTGAGCTTTTCCGTAAATTCCATGCATTACCATTTGAGATTGAAACGTAAAGTCTGAATTTGGTTTACCAATCAAATGCATTTATTCTATATTTGACTTTTGAATGATATGCGCACGTATCAGGTGCCCATGATTATTAACTGGATTTATATTGTTTTTGTGTTTGAACAAACTATATTCATTTAAGAGCTGGGAGATAATCCGGTAGAAATATATCAATCGTTGATTGAAGCGCGTCATGATGTAGTCTAAGCTTATCATTTCAAGGCGTTTTAAGACAAATGGTTTATACTGTTCATGGACATCACGCTGCGGGGCAGAATTCATTCTGGTAAATGCGTGCGTTAAAACGGTTTCTACCTGATATACCTTTAGTCATTTAGCAGACGCTTTTATCCAAAGCGACTTAATGAGGACAATGGAAGCAATCAAAATCAACAAAAGAGCAATGATTTGCAAGTGCTATAACAAGTCTCAGTTAATGCAGTACACGTAGCAAGTTTTTTTTTAAATCATATAATAAATAAAAAGAAAACAGATAGAATAGAAAAATAATAGAGCAAGCTAGTGTTAGAGGCCTTTTTGCTTTTGTTAATTGTATAATAAATAAAAAGAAAACAAAGATAGAATACAAAAAGATTAGAGAAGCAAGTGTTAGTTTTTTTTTTTTTTCATGTCATCAAGTCATGGCTACTTAACATTTTATAGCTCTCCACTTTGTCACTCTTTCTTCACATGACAACCGCCCATGTATTTTGCTCTTCTAACTGTACGTCTGTGTGTGTGTGTGTGTGTGTGTGTGTGTGTGTGTGCCGTCCATCTGTTTCCATTGTGTCTGCAGTCCCAGATGCACCATTTATCATTCTAAAGGTCATCTGTCTTTCTCATTCGCTCCATATTTTCTTAATCTGTCCTATCTTCCACACCTTCCATCAGTACAGTTCAATAGCTTTCTATTGTGTCATCTCTGCCTTCCTAACAACTGCATGGGAGACGCCAAGCTCATGCCACACGAACCCAAACTCAGTCCAAAACCTAAGCAGACATCAGTGTATGCAATTATAGACAAAAAGACCGTCCATAAATTATAATGCCAACTTAGATGGATTCCCCATAGATTCCCTGGTATGCCTGAATTCTTAGTATTCATAAAACAGTAGGCAAAAGATACCTGGATGACTAAATAAAAGAAATACACTTATGCATACTTATTATGGAAATAATATACGATCTGATTGTTTCTGATCTGTTTATAATGTACTGCCAGTGAATGGGTGCCGTCAGAATGAGAGTCCAAACAGTAATCCAAGTAATTCACACGACTCCAGTCCATCAATTAATGTCTTGTGAAGCATTTGTAAGAAACAAGGGCATCATGATGATGTCTCAAAATGTTTCTTCTGGCTAAAAGTCTATAATCGATAATAAGGCTTCCTCTAATGAAAAAGTCGTCTAATCTGAATCAGGAGAGAAATATGCGCAGATCAAGCACCGTTTACAAGAGAAAACAGTCTTAAACAAATATGTGGGTGGATTTTGATGTGAGAGGATGACAGCAGATTAACTTTTTCACTGGATCATGGATCATGGCCAGATGTGATGGTTTAAAGTTGGTTAAAAACATCTTCATGATGGATTTGTTTCTTACAAACACACAGCTTTTCACTTCACGAGATGTTAACTGATGGACTGGAGTGGTGTGGATTGCTTGTGGATTATTGTGGTGTTTTTATCAGCTGTTTGGACTCTCATTCTGACGGCACCCATTCACTGCAGAGGCTCTATTGGTGAGCAAGTGATGCAATGCTACATTTCTCCAAATCTGTGCTGATGAACAAATAAACTCATCTACATCTTTGATGGCCTGAGGGTGAGTACATTTTCAGCAGATTTAGATTTTCGGCTGCACTATTCCTTTAAGTGTCCAAAAACATTACATTCAATTCACACTTAAGTGTTTTTTAAAGTATACTATTTCCATTATAACGCTCTGAATGATCTGTTTAAGGAAACACTACAAATCTCATGATCAACTGTCAACTAGATTTATGCATGTTATTGTTTACTGATTTAAATACAGAAGACATGAGGTCCCCTTTAGCTCCCTGGCTGACCAACATCAAGCAAATCTAACATTAGTGTTAACCTACTTCTGAATAATGAATCTACTGGAGTTGATTTAAACTCATGTGAATTATTCACTTGGGTGACTTAGAGGTAACATGGTGTTTCCTGACCTATATCTGCTTTAAAGATGCCAAAAAGACAGGATCTCATGATAAGCCCTATTTTGACTTGCATATGGTCTCTTAAGGGAATTGAAGTTGAATATCTGCTCTTCCACAGTCTTTGTAAGCACAGGTTATGTTTCGCCAGCCAGACTGAATTCTGCTGTGATAGGCCTCTGCAGTCATCAAGTTGTCAAGTGTTTTGATGTTATCGGAATGGAACGGAATAAGTAAATAAGGTGTCCGACAGTTTGTCAATTTAAAGGATGGTCAGGAACTAACCGAGCCTAGTCTGGTGAATAGACCCGATTGCACTGTAAATATTTCATTGATTATTTACAATTAGTTTTAGAGAGGATTTTGAAGCAGGCAGTGTGATGCTGAGTTCACGGACATGTCTAGAGCCTGTGATGATGGAGTTGTTTGTTTATCTTGAGCATAAAGAGAATGAAATAACCAAATATTTCATATAAGGCATGTTGTAGAGAGAAATTAGAGAAGCTTTATATGAAAACATGTGCAAAGTCATGTGATAACACGTCCCACATGGTTTTTGCAATGCAAATGAGTTTATTTTCATTGAGAAGATGATTTCATTTTTTCGAAAGAACACAAACAAAACAATCAATGCTCAAAGAAAACTGAACTTTTTCAATAACCTAATACAGGTCAACAAAGATGCATTTATGTCCAGGCAACAGGAGAGAGAGACCACGTGAGGCTTTTCTATTCAGAATGTAAAGAAAATGTAATTTGAATGAATAGCGCCATCATGTGGAGAGTCTACAATACATCATGTGGCACATGTAGTGTGCTAATTGTTGTTTTCTAATGTCTACAAAAGAAAAACAAAGTATTTTGCGGATCTACCACTACATTCTTATCCAGTTGCAATTCTATATTTCAACCGCTTCTGCAATCTTGTAATAATTATTCATGAGGTTAATGAATATTCATGAAGTGGGTGGGCCATGAAGTCACGTGATTCTGTCGCAATCGTGAACCGCAGCCAGGGAAGTTTTTTTCCGTTACTTCTACTTTTATAATGTGAAGTTTCACTTAGAATAACGCTATTCGATCTCTACAGCCAAAGGTGGTCTACATCCATAAAGGTGAGGTTTAATTCAGCTCTACTGAACTAACACTGTAGCGATACGTGTAATAAACAGGACACGAAATGAGTAGAAGAGGGTGTCTCCAAATGTGTTTATGTGTAAAAATAATGGGAGATTCCGAAGCTAAAGGCTGTGTCTCAATATCTACTTGCTGCCTACTTAGACAAGCATTTTTAAAAACCATAACCGTGGATTACGATGTCTAAAATCCCTTAGTATTGAAGTAGGCAGCTTACTAGGTTTGGAGACACATCCGTGACCTGTAACTTACCCAACTTCCGTTTTAACAGATAAAAGTGGGTAAGTTAGCACTTTATTTTACAGTCCTGTTCCTCGTGTACATACTATGTACGTATTATAGTAACGTTAATTACAATAACTAGGTACTAACCCTAAACCTAAATCTACCCCATGTAGTACATTCTATGTAAGTGGACGTACTGTAAAATAAAGTGCAACCGGCGGTAAGTGTATATACTTTCATTTTAACTGCTAGATTCAGATTTGCTCAGAACACAAAACTATATCATTTTATCGCTAAACATTACTCTGTACACTGCGTGAAGTCAAAAATACCCCATTATTTACAACGGTTTTACTGTGTCTTTAACCAACTCTTCTATTTTGGTGGATATGTGTAAAAATAATCAACTAAGAAATGAATGTTTATTTTATTAAAACTATGGCAGTTTAGTTATTTATAAGTCATAACGTATAGATATGTTCAAGTGTTTCTTTGGAAATATTTGCTAATGCCTTCATCATTTATCTTTGCTATGTTTTGATCGGTGTCAATGAAGAGCTTGGGATGAAATATTAAAATTGAGCAAATATGTGAATATGGAATTAAGATTTAGTTTAATTGTGTGCATTTGGGAAACATAAAATGCTATAAAAGCTTGGTTCTAACAGTATTACTCATATTGTTTTATTTTATAGGCATTGTGGATGCAGAGTACAAAGATGTCCAAGCTTGCTTCTCGTAACTCTCAGCTGCTGTTGTCGGATCAGAAGTGTGCTAAATGTCTGTTAGAGACGTACGTCAAGCGGAGCCTCAGCCTGAATGAAGGATGCAGGAAACATCAGCTAAATAAACTCAAATGGCTTAAACCGGGAAGGCAGTCCAGACGGGCATCCAGTGACACCTCCACCCACCGTTTGACAGTAGAGAGGCTCCTGAAGACCAGTGAGTGCCCTGAATGCACAACACAAGAACTTGTCACTAGGAATAAGATCCTCAAAGCACCAAGCAGAACCAAATCATTCTTCAGAGGCTTTCTCCACTTCTCTAAGAAGAAGACTGAACCCAAAGTGAAAGATGAACGAGTTACAGAAACAGACTCTGGACAGTATACAGTAGAACGGGGGCTTCACTCTTCTCATAAAGGCTCACCTGGCCTCAGTGAGACTGTGAGTAAAAAACACTCTCTGAGAAGTATCTTCTTTAGCAATCAAAATGATGAGAAAAGAGAGTCGTTACAAAAGGACTCCTGTCTTGTTCCTGGTGGCGTGGAGGGGCTTTCAGACGGTAAGTCTTGAAGTTGACGGGCCAAACGGTTTTAATAGCCCTGTGAATAAAAACAAGTGAACGTGTCTGGCAAATTCATAGTTCTGCCACTAATGACAGTCGGTATGACGAATTAGCCACTTAAGGCCCGTTCAAGGATGATAACTATAACGCTAACTACAAAGTTTTAATGAGTGAATTATTTTGAGCTTTAATTGTTTAATTAATTCTGAAAGCAGGGAAGTCCACTTTACAGCTATAATGATAATGACACAGAGGAACGATATCGTTAGAATCACTTTAGAACGATTTTTTCTAGCTAATGAACGATAGAAGCATTGACAGCCAATCAGAAACTAGATTTCTAAACACTCTCTGAGAAGTATCTTCTTTAGCAATCAAAATGATGAGAAAAGAGAGTCGTTACAAAAGGACTCCTGTCTTGTTCCTGGTGGCGTGGAGGGGCTTTCAGACGGTAAGTCTTGAAGTTGACGGGCCAAACGGTTTTAATAGCCCTGTGAATAAAAACAAGTGAACGTGTCTGGCAAATTCATAGTTCTGCCACTAATGACAGTCGGTATGACGAATTAGCCACTTAAGGCCCGTTCAAGGATGATAACTATAACGCTAACTACAAAGTTTTAATGAGTGAATTATTTTGAGCTTTAATTCTTTAATTAATTCTGAAAGCAGGGAAGTCCACTTTACAGCTATAATGATAATGACACAGAGGAACGATATTGTTAGAATCACTTTAGAACGATTTTTTCTAGCTAATGAACGACAGAAGCATTGACAGCCAATCAGAAACTAGATTTCTTTAAAGAGCTTGAGTATTCAAAGCGGCAGAAAACAAAACGGCAACGCAAGCTTACAATAAACAGAATGTTATGCTTTGGTATGAATATTAATGTAATTATCGTTATAGTTATCTTTGTAGTTATCATTTTTGGTGTGAACAGGCCATTATTCTGGCTTAAGTTAACTTGTCTTAAAGGAACACTCCACTATTTTTGAAATGAGCCTATTTTCAAAAATAGTGGAGTGTTCCTTTAAGTGACATTTAGGAAGCAAGTAAAGTTCTGTTCGCACCAAGACTAATGTTTGGTACGGAATATTTTTCGCTAAACATTTAATTTGAATAGAGACACCTTTCATTCCATTGACTGACCATTGAGTGAATGTGGAAACGTAAGAAACGTAAGCTCATACAAATTTCGCTGAGCTCCAAAAGTAGGGCTGTCGCGATAACCGCAATACCGCGCTATTGACGAGCAAACCGCAGAGGAATGCAAGAACCGCAGCAACCGTGATTTTTCCGTGTTTTATTTTTTCATAAGGTTATGCCCTTCTCGTTTTACACTTCATGCATGTGGACTGAATATTAAACGTTAGTAATGATAACATAATGTGTACCATGCTGATTTGTACAGAGGCTCCGTAGATTTGCACTTAACAAGCCTAAACAGACAGTGAATGAGAGAGAGATCGACTGAGCACGTGCGATTACTTGCGTCTGTCCTCCAGGCCGAGTCATATATATTTGTGAAAATAGGTTGTCATGTCCAAGGAAAGCGAAATCTCTGTCTTTAGAAAGTCTCTTGTCCAGTCAGATTAGAAAATCAGATTACAACTAGGCTAACTGTTATACATATAGGCTAATGATAGCCTAACAATCTTATTGTCAGGTTTATGTTCTCTTAAGTGGACCGTTATTTTTTCATTCTCTTCTGTTTACTTCACTTCCTGTTTCAACGCTATACCGCATAGCGCACTATTGAGCCACTCAAAATTACCGCAAGGGAAATTCCCTCACCGTGACAGCCCTATCCAAAAGTCAGGTATGGTGAACTCAGACCTGTGAATTCATATCATGTGATGATGTGTAGAAGAGCGAGACGTCACTTTTAAAGGGATAGTTCACCCAAAAATGAAAATGCTGTCATTATTTACTCACCTTCATGCTGTTCTAAACCCATAAGACTTTGGTTAATCTTCAAAACCCAAATCAAGATACTTTTAATGAAACCTGAGAGGTTTCTGTCCCTCCACTAAAAGTCCAGGTAACCAGAAAATGTAATGGAGTCATAAAATGAATCCATTTTTTGAAGAAACAACCAAAGCCTTATCAGTTTGGAACGACAGAGCCGCTGCTGCGACCAAATTCACTGGACATGCTCACATATACAATCTTTAAACATATACCAAATTAGAACTCATTTTAATGTAGCAAAAGATTAAAAATAAATGATTAGTTCACCTTCTGAGTCTTTCATTGACTGACACAAAGAATGAATCGACCTATGACCATCACTATAGTGAATAGCAGAGGAAGAATCTGGAACTGGCTCTCTTGTCTCTGTTCATTTATATTTGGTGCAGTCTGAAAACGTAATAGTAATTACAAAAATCTGAACCTGTAAATAATATTTGACTTCCTTTCTTCTTTGTGACAAGTGGGTGTGAGAAATGGAAGTGTTGTACTTTGTGTACTGGGGTATTTCCACTTTTCTGTAACCACCAACTACTCCCAGGGAGTGAATTTGCATTTTTATTCTGTGTTGGTGTGGACAGGCCTGTACACTGAAATGTTAATGTATGAGATGAGAAAACTGTACAGTGTCCGAGAGAGCTCAGTGTGCTGCACCTTCAGAAAACACATGCAAATAGAAAAAGCACCAGCAAATTAAGAAAGTATCTTCATCAGTTTGACAGCACGTGCTGCAAATACTCGCGGCAACACAACCAAATATAGAAATGTGCTGCAAATACTTACAACAAATGCAAATACAAAAACATGCTGCAAATACTCGCAACACAACCAAAAACAAAAACGCACTGCAAGTAGCACAGACCACAATGGGAGGGCCCCAACAATGCCAAAATTACCCCCAACAAAACGAAAATAACCATGGTTTTATAGGTCTGACCGATTTTTTGCGACTAATTCGAATTTACGTTTTAAGACTATTTTATTCTTAAATCTAGGTATTGCATAAATGAGTACACCCCCTCTGAAACTTAACAAATTCAGCAATTACTCTTTGCTTAGAAGACATGTTATGTTTTTATAGAGATATAATATTCCAGCAAGTCTGCTTGATCAGTTACCAAAGAAGAATGTTAAAATGATTCAAGAAAATACCATTTTCTTATCAAAGTGATAAAATGTTGTGTAGCAAAAATGAGTACACCCTCCTGAAAGTTACTAAAAAACCTGAGGTGAAAATCCTTCAGTGGACATGTATTTCACTCAATCTTAACACTCTTGAGCTGCTGTGAGAGATTCTGTAGAGACGAGCTGAGCAACACTCCCCATTACAGACCAGGGCATTTAAGGAGGTCGTCCTCCAGGAGTTAAACAGCACAGATGTGAAAATTTGTCATGAACTCGTACACTCAGTGCCAAGAAGTGTCAGAGCAGTGTATATGAGTTATGAGTTATGGAGGACATATTAAGTTCTAGAATATTACACTTGGTTGAATTAAATCTAGGTTGTACTCAATTCTGCAATCCTTCATTTAAACCAAAATTTACTAAGTTTCTTATTTTACAGATATTAATGGCATGTATTTGTTTGTTTTTTTTAAGAATATATTTTAATACATTTCAATTTCGCCATCTTTCTATGAATTATATTAGTGATCATTAAGAAAATACATCTTTTATATTTAATCAGAGGGGGTGTACTCATTTATGCTGTGCACTGTATGTATATATATATATAAATGTTGATGCACACATCCAATCAGATACATTGTCATTGCACCATTGGCAGAATTATTAAAAGACAGTATTGTCCGAGAGCACTCTATGAAGGAACGTAATGTAGAAATAGCATCTAACATCATGGAGATGGATGACTCTTCACCTCAGGATGACCTTGTGCCAAAGAATATATATATATAATAAATGTATTAATTAATTTTAATAGTAAAACCATGGTTAATTTTTTAAAGGGAAGTTGTAAAAGTAAGCCAGCCAGCTTATAGCCTTTCACAGTTACAGTAATTGTGTATTTCATCAGCCTATTTAGACTAATAATATCCAAAAATAATATCCTTTGCGGTTACCTTAATAATTTCCGATGTGGTCTGTGCCTATTTGCAGCGTGTTTCTATATTTGTTTGTGTTGGGAGTATTTGCAGTGCGTTTCTGTATTTGTTTGTGTTGTATTTGCAGCATGTGTGTTGTCAAATAGATGAAGATGTTTTTTGTTTTTTTTCTGTTTGCATGTGTTTTTTTCATTTGCAGCGCATTGAGCTCTCTCGTCCACCGACTTCTGCGTTTGTGCGAACAGGCATGTACACTTAAATGTTAATGTATCGTTGGTCCAAACCACTGTGTATGTGAATCTTTCCTCTGTTTGTAGTGAGCGTGGACTCTGATAATACATACTTTGAGAAGGTGTCAGAAGAACTGGAGTTGATTGTGAAGGAGATTCAGTTCCGTCCAAAAGAAGACTGTGCTCCGCTGCCCTCTGCTGCTTCTGTAGGAGACTGCAGCTCTTCAGGTGACCCTCTCCATGAAATCTGACTAGCAGGAAACGTTTAGGAGCACAATAAATTCCACACAATATTCTAGGGGATCTTGCTTTATTTATTTACTTTTCAAAGCTTATTTAAATTTAAGCTTCATATTGCAAATAGCAAATGTTCACATGTGTGTCTCCTCAGGTGATGACACTACAGAGAGGATTATCAGCCTGCTGAAGCAACATGGGGATATTATTGATCAGAAAGTAAGCATTTTAACCCTGATTCATTTGATTTCAAGAATTATAATTTAAATGTATTTTTTTAAATTATTCCTTTGACGTAATGTTCAGTCGTTTGACTAATGTATGCAAAATTAGTTATTAGTTATATCATTTAATTATCACATTTTATTACATGGTTTTTTAGGATACTTTATTGTGAGTGGTCAATTGCAGTATTCTGTGGTCAGACATTTGTACAATTTTATTTCTATTTTTCACATTGATGAATAAACCATTCAGGCAGCAAACTTTCTTACATCGCTGTTTCAGGTTCAACACAGCCTATTTTTTGCCACATGTAGTAAAATATGAAGAAAAAAACACCTGAATTCACATAACCAGCAATAAATGCTGCTAGATCCCCTCATATCATATCTGTGTAATTTTCTTTCTAGATAAGCAGGAACAAGAGTGTCCAAGACTTCCTCCAGAAACTGTCTTACAGCTCCTTCCAGCAGCTCGCTGATCGCTACATAGCCCAGATCCCCAGTCCCCTTCCCCAGACCACAGACGCCTCTCCTGAGCTGGTCCGACTCGCCTTCACCCTGGACTTTACTGCCAAAGTGGCTGGATTGTGCAGCCAGACGGTCGGTCGAATCATGGGGTTTGGTAACCAGTACCTTCAGGATTCCTTCACACAAATGTGTGCAGCCCACAGACAGGTAAGAACAGATCAGGCAGAAATAAAAGGGCAAAGGTGTAATTATTGGAAGTAAAGTAATAGGCCACAGTTGGGTCTTGGTTTATGTTACTAAAATGCACACTTTTTTTCTTTTTGAGTCTGTTTGAGCTCTTAAAAACCAAAGATGATTTTTTTTTTTTACCCATGTAAGTCAATTAAAAGGTTCATAATGTATTTTTTTATTATTTAATTTTACCTTAGGTTCGCCCCCTCTGGTCCCTAGACTTAAATAGTCCGTATTTTTTTGCATGTAAACTGAGAAACTGAAGAACAGAATGGTTAAAAACCATCAGCACTCGATTACAATCTGTTTGCAAAGTCTGCATCATACTGTGACAGATTCATAAAACAATTCACGCTGAAATGTGTTGCCAAACAGGGATCTTGGGTCTCATTCACTAATAATTGTGTGGATTACTAATTCACAACATATGTGTACGTACACAAATATGCTCTTAACCTTGTTCTAATGTTAATGAATTTGGAGTATTCTAAATGAACAAACGCATGTCTGAGGTCAGTCCTTTGCATATTTTTTAAACACGTAGGACATGATGGAAATAGTTCCCAAATTGTAGGCCTCTCACACTAGTTGGATATATATAGCTGTCACCACCAGCTGATGTTCAGGGCCACCTATGCATTAAAACTAGTGGTGTCAAAATTACCGCGTTAACGCAGGCGATTAATTCTTTCAGTTTAATGCGTTAAAAATATTTAATGCAATTAACGCAGGGGCGGGGCTAGGGTTGGCCACCCCACTCACAACTGCTGCTTCTGTCACTTTTTCTCTTGACAAGAAGTGCATTTATTCAGTCGCAGAACGACTGAGAACGGGAGACGTTTCAGAAGCGCGCTCCACTTTACTTCAGCGCCAGGCGCGAGTCAAGCGAGCACGGAAATGGTACTGTGCTCACAGCGCGTGCTCTTCAATTGCACGCACAAAGGGGCCTGCGCGCTGTAGCCTGTATCTTTTCATATCAAAGCGCAAAATAAACTACGTGCATTAGGGCTGTCAAAATATTTTTCGAATTTCGAATATTCGTCGAATAAAAAATAAAAAAATCCACATTCGAATGCAAAAACGTTGCAAATATGTTGTTTACAGAAAAACTGAAACCAAGCCGTTCACACAGAACACATATTTATCACATTTTCTAGTGGGGCATCTATCAGCGTTGCACTCGCGTCTCGCACAAGAGAGCGGCATGTTTAGAAAGCCATGTAAAATTAATGTAAGTTCAACTTTTATTGAGAAATCAGTATTGGTATCATTGATACTGGCCTTCAGTCATAAAAAAAGATGCCATTAAACAAATATAAAAAAAATACTGTCTTTGTTGTTTGTACATTAATTTGAAGATTGAATGTGAAATTATTGCAATATAAAAGTATATTTAAAAACTTTAATGTTAGGTGGGATTAAT